ATATTATTAAAAATATAGATAAACTAATATATTTATAAAACAAATAAATTATTAAAATTAAAAAAATATATAATTTTTTTTTCATTATAGGTTTATAAACTTACAACTACAACTTATGCATGATTATACATCAACATACATGGTTATGTATGAATTATCCTTTCAATATTCAATTTTTTTCCTATTTTTTTTTAATTTAAATTTTAATAATATTGAGTAAATTATATTTTAAAAATAATTTTGTTGATTTTTAAAAATTAAATTTATTGATCTAATTAACATTAATAATTTAAATAGACTTTTAAATAGATTAATAAATTACTTTTAAAATTGATTCTTTAAAAGCTTAATAGTGTGTTTGGATAGAAAATTTAAATAGAATAATTCATTTATTTGAAGAATTTCAAATTCTTTGAGGTAAAATACCTTGTTTGGATGGAGAATTTATAAGGAATTTGAAAATCAAGTATTTGTAAAATTCCTTGAAATAGTAGAATTTCAAATTCTCTCAAAAAAGTAAGAATTTGAAATTCCTCATACTTTTTTTTTCTTATTTCACTTATATATTTTATCTCATCTCTTATCTCTTCATGTTTTTAATTATTGAATATTCAAAAATATTTTTAAAATTATTAAATATTATCTAATATTAATTTTTAAAATTATTAAATATTTACAAATTAGTTAGTATTTATTTTTATAAAATTTAATTTAAAAATCTCAACATATAAATATATTTTTAAAATTAATTTTAACATGGCGAAATCAAATTATCATATCTAACCCAACAATTTAAAATTTGACAAATTTGAATTGACTTATCCAAACAAAATATTTTAAGAAGGATAGAAAATGAAATCAAAGTAATTCAAATACCAAGAATTTAAAATTCTTTTAATTTATAAAATTTTTCATCCAAAAACATCATAAGACCTTCAACGGGGAAATCTTCCCGCCTTACTTATTTGTTTTGTATATGTAGAGGCCAGGGAGTATGATACATCAGAATGTAGTGGAGGGTGGATGGAAACAACAGTCGTAACAGGTTGCCTTATAACACCTCTTCTTTGTAGATGATGTTATTCTTTTAGCAAAAGGAGATTTAGAGTAGGTGGAGAATGTGGCTCTCTGCTTTCCTTCTGCTCTCTTTCATGGTGTCTTTGGGGGTTTCTGACAATAGAAGAAAGATATTTGAGATGTGACCAACATTATGGACAAATATCTGGGGTTTTGAATTTATGAAGGGCAAACTTGGAGGAGGGATTTCACTGACCTTATATTGAGAGGGCCAGTAGTGAACTTTCAGCATTGGAAGGGTAGGTCAACCAATATGCATCTTTTCTTGTTTTCTTATCTTGACTTTCAAAAAAACAATTAAAAAAAAACTAATACAACTTTAAAATGAAATATTGGTTATTCATATCTTTTGACAATTTTTGCTCGGCTTCGTGATCATAAACACAATTGTTCCAATCCGCATAAAGAGCATATGTAGATAATGTGAATAATCACATTAAGAAGAATACGTAATAATAACTACATATAGAAGTTTAGCAACATAATGATTCAATAATTTGTAATTCTTTCGCAAAACCATTAAGACAAATGTAATCAAGTACAGTTCATTATAGGTTTTCAAAATTGCTCCCCATTCAGTAGGAGGAATGAAAATAACTTCTGCTGTTTTGAAGCTCTAAATTTAAAAGTCACTAGTCACCATTATGAGTGACAAAATAGTTATTCACGTTCGTTTAGACTTTGTTCTACCTTGCTACTAATATCTTATTAGTTGGATACTTGTATTTAGCACCATCAACGTTTCAAAAAAAACTTAACTAAATAATCATCCATTTTTCTATTTAATAGGGTACATATTAAGATGATTGACAAAACATAAGCAAAAAAGGCAAAAACATGGAAGACCCTGCTCCCCTATTTTCCGTAGCCTAATTAATCATCATATGAAAATTCAATAAAAGCAAAAGAGAACCCTCTTTTAAATGAGAATAGTTTCTCCTTAAAATCTTCCATAATCTTCGATTTTCCCAACCACTGGCTAACAAGGGAGAAACTCATCCTCTCCAGCACCAAACCATTTTCCACAAAAAACTTAGCTAACCACAGCTCATGCTCACATCCATGGACTTTACGAAATTTCACAACCTGGAGAGTATATGTCAAACAATCGGGCACAGCAGTAGAATTCAAAAGCTCTTTGGCGAATTTAGATATTCCCTGATGATTAATCATCAAATGAAGTCCAAATAAGAATCGAAAAAAAAGGCTAAAAAAATTAACAAATCATAAAATGTGGTTGCAATAATTACCAACCTTGAAAAGTAGAGTCTTGAGAACCGGTGACTTTAGAAGCAATCCTAATAAAACCTCACCACTAACTAAACCAAGCTCCAATTGGCTCAACATTCCAAATAAAGGTAGCTTAGCCACACTTGATTGTGTCAGTACCTGGATTAATTCCACATAAAGAAACTTATTTGTATTATGACATTCAATATATTGCACCAAGCTTAGAAGTAAAATATGCATGTATATGAATCTCTATAATCAGTAGGGTCGACTTAATATCAGAGAATTGAGAAAGTATAAAACATACACACGATCTTAATTCCAATGAAAAAATAAATAAATAAAACTATAGCTGTGTGAATATATGTGCCACTACTTCAGTCCAAGACTTTCTTCTTAATAATTTAATCAACTAAATAAATGAAAGAATTAACATTTACATATGCTACTCTTATCTAATGCATATTAAGTTTATGATGTGGTGTTCCAAGTAAGGGATGATGCACATTTTTAGAAAGGATACTTACCTCACAGCCCTCAAATTTGAGATACTTCACTTGGCTGAATTCTTGGAGAAGCACAAAGGCACGGAACTCTGTTTCTGGATCTCTATTTATCGGACATTGACTCACAGTTACATTAAGAGAAGCATTATGAGTCAACAACGATTGTAACAGCTTAAAATAATGTGATATGTAACCATCACCACAATAACTGAACTCTATCAGATTGGAAGCAAAAAAACACATTGAACATTTAGGCGTGTCATAAGACATAGACTTGGCGTTTTGCACTATGATAACACTTTCAAGTAGAGGCACGTTTAGTGTAACACATTTTGCATTTAACCAAGTGCAGTTTGTTGTTTCAAACACCTTGAGAACTGGTAAACTAAGATTCATGGTTCTGTAGCTAGGGTCAACAGTAAACAAAATCCCAGACAACTTAAGGATTCTTAGTAATCCAAAATGAACAAAGTCACTATCATAAACCCTAATGGCACAAGATTTCATATTGAGCACCAACTCTTCTAAGAACTTGGAGTTGAAAAGAGAGTGAGATGCAAAAGATGTCAAGGGCATCTCAAAACTTGTGTCAATACGAAGACTTCTAACATCCCTTATCAAGATGTTAGATACCCATGTGTTGAGAAGGGACACATCGTACTTGTTAACAACAGTAAGTGAAACACTTTCTAAGATTTTACTTTGGGTGAGAAGAAGTGCCCTATACACGAAGTTCATGAAGAACATTTTTCCACCATTTTTTCTCTTAGGAGAGTAGAACACAGTGTCATCTAAGTCCAACTTGGTGATGAATGTCCATCGAAAAAGCCATTTCTTGGATGACACACACGTGCGAACTGCATCTTTGGTTGGGAGAAAAGAGAGTATGCGACTTATGAGTGGTTCTGGAAGCATGTTGATCATATCTACACCTTCATTTTTCTTCTGTCTCTTCACAAGATTTCGCTTGCGTACGCTAGAGCCAGTAACAGATGAACCAGAAGACTCCAACATCACTTTAAAAATTTCCTACAAATAACTAATTTGCTGCGTTAATCATCAAGCAATTAACTTACTTTTATGCATGACGTCTTCCAAAGTAGTAAAATTTAGAAAGTTAAAAACTAAGGCTTATTGCCTCTAATAATATTGTAACATGAACAGATATATAGAGAAACCGTAACTTGAAAGAATAAGAGCTGTGTAAACTCAGCAAATTTAAAGAACAAACGTAGCATTAAGGTGTCCTCTCACCAATTTGAGCAAATAAGAACTGAGAAGGAAGATGGTGGTTATGAAAATTGGTTTGTTTGTTTCAACTGTAGGAGCATAAACACGTTTTATTATGGAGGGAAAGCTGAATCCAGTGACGGTAGCGTGGGAAATAAAAGTATGACATATATAAATGCAACGTCCCTTCAACTCAGGTTTCCTTTTCTATATCCTTCACCTTGAGCCACGAAAAGTTGAAAACTATAAATGCAATAGGTAATTATTATGTCTACTTAAAATAATAATAAAAATAATACTCTTACCATTTTATTTTATTTTGTCTGATAGATAAAATTTTAACACAAAATTAAAAATATATAATTAATGTATCTAATTTTATTGAAAAAAATTATATAATTATTTTATGTATTCTTAAACTTATATGTTTTTACTCAATTTGGATCCTCTCCTGTAATATTCTCTCTCCAGCCTCTTTTCAATAACATTAATAATTATTAGATATATCTAATGACTCAAATTTAATCATATAATTAATGTAACTTCTTAAATGATTTTTATAAAATTAAATTTGAGTCATTAGATATATCTAATGATTATTAATGTTGCTAGATATGGCTGGAAAGAGAATATTGCATGAGAGGATCCAAATTCGTTTTTACTAATAAAATGAGTTTTAAAAAAATACATTAATCAAATAATATGGTATTGATAGTTAAAGGCATAATAGAAAAAAAAATTTAATATTACAATAATATTATAAAACTATAATTAAATTGAAATAAATTATTTTTTTTTAAATTTCAAATAAATTAAAATAAAATAAGTATATACTAATTTATAAATTTGTAATTAATTTATAATTTTTTATTAATTAAAGTAAAAATATTTATTCAATAGTATACAAACTTTTTAATATTTTTCATAAATTACTTAAGATAATGTGTTTTAACTTTATAATTTGTAACTTACACATTTTTCATGTTTTAATATTTTAATAAAAAAACATTATCTTCCTTTCATATTATATTATTTATTTTCTAAAATATTTTCTAAAAATAAATGTTTAATACTAAACAAAAATTATTTATGATTAATAAAAAATATGTATATCACTGAAGAAAAAAGATTTAAATATTTTGTTGATCTCTTTGATTTTAAATAAATTTATTTAAATTTTTGAAATTTAAAATTATTATTTTAATCTTTAAAATTACAAAATAATTTAATTTGTCAAAACCATCAATCACATCATAAACAATATCAAAATTGAGTCAATTAATGAATGTCACTAGGATTTAATGCAATACTTTCATTAGCAACAATATTAATAAATAAATTTTGTACAAAAGTTCAGTAATAAATATATTTTGTTTGTTAAATACAGAATAGGAGGGCTAAAGTTTTTTTTTTTCAAGTTTAAAGGATTAAAATATATTTTTAAATTTAAGAGTTCAAAATCAGATTTACTTTATATTTAATGACTTAAAAATATATTTAAACCAAATAAAATATGTAAATGCATCTTTATAGTATTTAATATATCAATTTTAATACTTTTAAATTAATAAACTAATTTATTTATTTTTTTACTATATTATATAAATTAAAACTAGTACTAATTATATTTCTTTAATGTATGCATCATTGAATAAATTAATTTTTTGTCCGTCATTGTTAAATATAACAAAAAGGGAGAACAATTTTCTTAAACTTTTTTTTACTTATAGATTATGACATCTAACCATAGTTTTAAAAATTGGACCGGTCATCAAATCGGTTAGGGTATTGGGTCAGTGGGTCAAAAGTTAAACTGATGGATCACTAATTGAACCGCATGACTCGATTTTTATTAATTTTTAAAAAAAAAATATTTATGTTAAATATATTTTATATAAATTTTAATAAATTCATATCTTATTTTAAATTTCAGTTTTCATCTTATTTAAAATTATCTTTATTTTTATTTTGTATAAAGAAATACATAAAAAATTACATGTTAAACTATATATTAATACAAGTTAAAAATATAAATAATATGTATATATATAATATGCTTACAATTGATATTATAAAATAATATATGTAATATCTAAATAGATATTATATTATTAAATATATAATTTAGAATTAATAATATATTATAAAAATTATTTAAGTTGCATATATTATAGACAAATATATTAAAATAAGTAGTTATTTTTATGCTTAATAAGACTCTTTGTTCTTTCATTAACAAATTAATTCTCATTGTTATTTTTGTGATTTGTGGTCTTTTAGAAAAAATTATAAAACAAATTTATGGTTGAACCGGTTTGACCCACTGGTTCACTGGTCAAACCGGAAAATTGACCGGTTCAATCCAGTTTGAAACTGGTCGAATACATAATCGATCCAACTTAAGATTTGAACCAGCTAGACCACCGGTTCCCGGTTCAACTGTCCAACGGGCAGTCTGATCCGGGTTTTTAAACACTGCATCCAACAACATTTTAAGTGTTTGATATACTTCCAAAAAATGTTTAATATACATTTACAGCGTAAATTTTTTACGTTGCCAACTTAAAAATTATCTTCATATTATTTATCAGAGAATTATTTTTAAGTCAACACACTTGCTACATATAACAATGTGACCAAATGATAGTGTAAAAAAATTATTACCGTGCATACATTTTAATTAAAACCACTCTTTTCTGTGTTTCATTGGATAATTAAATTTTGAAGCTCTAAATTAAAAGTTACTTGCTGATGTAAAACGAAAATCAATATGCTTTTAGAGACACGTGAATGAAAGGCATAAACTAAGATACTGTAATAAGCATGAAACGACATTACAGTCCTAAAGCTGGCTCAAGCTCAACTGTTCTTTATGAAAATTCAATAACGGCAGAGCCAACACTTTTCTTTAATGACAATATCTTCTCTTTAAATTGGTCAAATTTGGACCAACGGAGACCCCGACAAGCTATGAATCTTGCTCTCTTCAAGACTCGAGCATTTTCCACTACAAATTTGGCGAATCTAACCTCATGTTCATCACCTTTAAGTCTTCCAAAATATAACTCTTGCAGGTTAGTTAAGACACAAGGCACACATCTGGCATCCCAAAGGTCATCCTCAAAAGAAAGTAGCTCCTGATGATCGAGGATAAATAATTATATTGCACAAGAATGAAATAGAAAAAACAATAATTTATGACAATTATAATTAAAACAACTGAATAAAGTTGATCAGTAGGTTAACAGAATAGTTTATTTGCAAAACTCCAGAAGATTTAGTCATCTACGTATGTATTTTGTAAAATTTAGTGATTATTTGGTGGCATAGCTAGTTTCAGTTCAATCAATTACTAACCCGAAAAACAAGAGTCTTGAGAAGTGGTGCTTTTATAAGTAAGAACAACAACAATACACCAGCAACTTCATCTAGCTCCAGACGACTCAACATTTCAAATTCAGGAAGCTCGATCAATGAATCCCCTGCTGGCACAAGAACCTGAGTGACAAAGGAATGTTCGTATTGAGAGACAGTCAATATACTAGTCATAAATGCAACAAACAGAATCTAGACTTGTAACAACAAACATACTCTCATAAAATAAAAAGTCACAGATATATGATTCGCATTTGATATAGCATTAGCAAGGTAAACATTTTCAATATTCTCAAACAAGGAAATTAACTATAGATGTTCTTATTAAATTTCATTGTTGTCGACATTCATTGCAAAGAAAAGACGAAGCAAGGAAGCATACCTCTGGCTGGTAAAAACTTAGACATTCCACTTTATTATTGAACTTTTTCAGAAACTCGTAAGCAAGAAGCCCGGATGCTTCATCACTTCCCTCTCTTTGTGTCAAAATATTAGCAGAGGCAATTTGTGTTATAGATAGGTCTATGAAACTGGCATCTGACATGTTTCCGATATAAGAAAATTTTGCAAGACGCGAAGCACAAAACTTGATTACAGAACGAGAACCATCTGGCCCTAACACACGAGTATGGCTTATTCGAAGCACTTCAAGTAGAGGAACTTCAAAAGTGACACCCTTTACATTTAACCACTCGCAATATTCTGTCTCATACTTTCTAAGAACTGGGAAGTTAAGGTTAAGCTTCTTCGAGTCATTAGAGGGGGCACAGGTAAATGTGATTCCATTCAAGATGAGGACAGTAAGGGACGAAAGACAAACACAGGTGGGAACTTTGACTCTAACATCATAATTCATTTTCCGTTTGATAGAACAAGCACTCATACACAACACCAATTTCTCTAAAGACGGGGATTTCCAAAGGGAAGGTGAGAAGATGTCATTTTCTTTGGTTGATTTGATATAAAGCTCTTTAAGTCTTCGTCTTAACATAACAGATATCCACTGATTAACATGGTAAGAATTATAATTCTCTGAAAGGGAAAGAGAGAAGCTTTGAATGCTTGAAGTGTTTAGATGAATTAGTACCCTATACACAGAGTTTACAAAGCGGGTTTTGCCTATATACCGATGTCGCTCTTTATCGTTAAAGTGTAGCTTGGTGATGAATGTCCAGAGGTATATCCATCTCTTGGATAAAACACAAGTACGAACTGCATCTCTAGTTGGAAGAAAAGAGAGAATGTAATAAATAATGACATCAGGTAGGTTGCTGATTATGTCCTGATCTTCTTTGGATTTTTGCTTCTTGGACGAGGAATTTGGGCCCATGTCTGTTTCAAGTTCCTACAAAAAGTGAAGGACAATTAACTGCATTGTCAAGCTATACACACACAAAATCGTCTAAAAAACTGAAGCAAAGTTTGAACAAGTAATTTAAGTTATTGAGATACTTAAGACACACCGAGTCACAGATTGCAGACTGAACGCATGAAAATGTGAAATAGAGGACAAAATGACCAAAAAGCACTAAACACAGACGCTACAAGATGTGAATGTGATTATGCCCAAAGCATTCTTGATAAGAAACACAAGAGAACCCTCAGGAAGGGTAGCTAACATGTGAAGGGCAACATCATATCCATGAGCCAAGCATGCTAAATAATCAGCCACACTATTCTCTTCCCTGTACACACGAGAGACTCTAACCTCCCAATCCTTTGCTATCCACCACCAAATTGTATCAACCATGAACCTGAAAGCATGTCCATGCTCCAAACCTTGCAAAACAAAATTAACAGCAAATGCTGAATTCCAGCTGTCCAAGCTACCCGAAGCACAGACAATATACCCCATAATTCTGCCATAAGCACGTTAGAAGATCCAAAGTTCCTAACAAACCCCTTCAACCAATTCCCATTATCATGTCTAAACACACCAGCACACGTGGCTTGCTGGCTAGGACTCTCAACAGAAGCATCCATGTTCACCTTATACCAACCCATAGGTGGAGCAATCCACGCCAAATTCGCTTCCTGTTTCCTGCTTGACAAACCCCCATGAAGAGATTGATGAGACTTAACTTGGGCTCGGAACTCTGCCTTCAATTGAATATCACGATAAACCTAGTACCCATCAAAGTCCACTCCAGGAAAAAAAAAATGCTTATTACGAGCCGACCAAATTGCATGGATTCCCACAACAAAAACAGACTTACACATAATACCATCACTGCAATTAATCTCACACATAAATTGTGATGAAGCCATTCCAACAACTTAACCTTGAAAAAACTGTAATGGCAATAAGGTAAAAGAGTTAACCAAATAACCTTTTCCTAATCACATTCATGCAAAACATGCAGGATAATCTCATCCTTATGTAGACAAAGTGGACAAAGAGAACAACTATTTACTACTAATCCGTCTTTCCCAACAAAATAAATTGGTCATAACACCTTTATGAATAGCTTTCCATAGAAAGCAACTATCCCTGGGTTGCATATCTCGAGACCATATCTTCTCCCAAATTACATTCAATCTAGTCGCCTCCTCATTCTTGAGTAATTTATAAGCAGATTTTGTTGAAAATTTTCCATCTGGTGTGCTAACACGATCCTCCCCCAAAGCCTCATGGGGTGGGACACAACCAAGAATTTTCCACCAACAACCATTCAGGAACGAAGTCCTGAAATCTGGCACTATTCCATTCACCATCTTCAGCGATATAATCACACACAAATTCACATCACTATAAGATAGGTTCTGCTCAACAAAGTTAAACATGATAAGTCCAGAAGGTAACCATCTGTCTTTCCATAATCTAATCTGCTTTCCATTCCCAATGATCCATCTACACCCCAACAGGACAGAATCCCAAACTGAGGATATACCTTTCCACACATCCGAGCAACTTTCCACACAGCTAACGCAAGATGATGCATCATCATTACAGTCATACATGCTTATAATAACCCAAACCCACAGAGCATTAGGATTAACCACAGACCCAAAGCCAACTTCTTAACAAGAGCGCAATTAAACACCTTCAAATCACAAAAACCCAACCACCTGCATCCTTATCTCTACAAAACTTGTTCCAAGCAATAGAATGGCACCTCCTTTGATCCTGAGATTCACCCCCACACAAAACTCCAACACATACTTTCCAACTAGATAGAAAAACTTGATTAGGAAGGATCACTGTTTGCATGGTGTACGTTGGAAGAGTAGCGTACATCTTCCTGCAAAGGATAAATTATTTGCTCTCCAAGAACTTAGGCTTTTTTGAGTCTTTTCAAACAAATAAGAGTAAGTCTCCCTCCTCGTTCTACCATGCAGCAAAGGAACACCAATGTACCTCCCAAGATCTCTCATAATTCAAAATCCAGACAAATCCCTTAACTATTTAAATCAAGCATAATGGGCATTCTTTGAAACAAAAATCCTAGTCTTGGCCACAGAAACCTGTTGACCAGAGGATGAGCAGAACAGAACAGAAAACATCAAGACAAAAGTTAATGGTCTCCATTTGGGTCACACTAGCTTCCCCAAATAATAGAAGAACATGCACAAAAAATAAATGAGAAATGGGAGGCCCTAATCTACACAACTTGATGGGTTTCCAGTTATTACAACTCACTTCTTTCTCAATCAAATTTGCCAAGCATTCCATACAAAGCACAAAAGAATATCGGGAAATTGGATGGATTGGATCCCCTTAATGAATTCCTTGTGCAGGGCTAAAATTCTCGGAAGGAATACCATTGAAAATGTTATTCATAAATATGCTCTTCTTGTTTGACATTTTTATTATTTTCTTCTTTTTTTTAACAAAAATGAGTTTTGGACACTCAACAATCCACATGATAATCAATACATTCCATATATATATATATATATAAGACTTAATTAACCTTTTGATCTTTATAGTTTCATACACTTTACCTTTTCCTCAAAGTATGTAATTTTAGTCTCTATTCATGCTATTTTTGTTTCCTTTTACTCTCAGTATTCTATTGCTAATTTGTTATTGAAACTAAAAGGTAAAATTTACGAAACTATATGAACTAAGTGAAAATAAAAATAGAATGGATAGAGACTAAAATAAAATACTTTTAATTATAAAGACTAAAATCGATGAAACTATAGGTAGATAAGGGTAGTTAAACCTATATGGTACATGCAACATAACACATAATCTAAAAATTGGAGCAATCAAAATTTAAACAAGTCCGATAAAAATAATTTGATATTTAAGGCTCCTCTCCTCTGAGTCTCAAATTGCAGACTGTGAGAGCAACACCACAACAAGGAAATCTAAGAACATCAATCTAGAAAGCCAATAGCCCAAATTGAAAGAGGAGATGAAAATTGAAACCCAACAACATCTCATAAACATAGCATGAAGAATAGTTAGAGAGGAGTGAGGAAGATACCGTGGGGAATATACCGAATTTGTGGGGTTCGCCGGTGGCTAAGGAATTGGACATGGTGAAGGAAGTGATGCACAAAGTCGTGAAGAAGTTGAGCAAGTATCAAACATGAAGAGGTGAATGATACAGAGAAATGCCAATATACACTCCAAACATCGTTCCACTTTAAAATGATAATAAAATATTATTTATTTATACTCCTTCTATTTTTTATTCATAGTCGTTTTTGTCAGAATTTGTTATTTTTTTATTGTTATTTTACTAAAACCAATGACTTATTAATTTTTTCTCTTATTTTTACTCTTGATAATTAATGTATATTTATTGAACAATGTGTCTATTTATTTCTAATGTCTACCTATTTTTTCTCCAACCACCTATGTGAAGTTAATGTTACATTTAATATGTTTCCAACGAAATATTATTCCCTCTATTTTTTATTCATAGTCGTTTTGTCAGAATTTGTCATTTTTTTATGAATAAAAAATAGAGGGAGTAGTATTTCGTTGGAAACATATTAAATGTAACATTAACTTCACATAGGTGGTTCGAGAAAAAATAGGTAGACATTAGAAATAAATAGACACATTGTTCAATAAATATACATTAATTATCAAGAGTAAAAATAAGAGAAAAAATTAATAAGTCATTAATTTTAGTAAAATGACAATATAAAAAAATGACAAATTCTGACAAAACGACTATGAATAAAAAATAGAGGGAGTATAAAATAATAGAAGATAGAATAAAAAAGTAAGTAATAAATATTTTTGAAAACTAAAATATCAATCATTTTTTTAAGTTCCATGCAAAAACTTTAAACGACTATAAATAAAAAAGAGTGAATAAAATTTTCACTTCTTTCAAATTTACCCTTTACAACACTTTCGTAAAGGGTAAGGCTTTAAGATTCAAAAGTCAAAAAAAGGAAAAACAAAAATACATAGAAGCCAAAGAACCATGCCATTTTTACCGTCTTTAACGGTGTCAAGTAAGTTATTTACTTTTTACTTTTTTTTTAATTTTAATTTTTTGTTTTTTATTAGATATTATTATTTACTTAACTTTTTAATTTTTTTAATTTTAATTTTTTGTTTTTTTATTAGATATTATTATTTACTTATCATTCTACTGAGTTTTTTTATCGGTGTTAAGTTATATGATAATTTTTTTTGTTGTCCTTGAGTTTTTCTTTTTATATTTTTAGGATGTTATTGTTTACTTTCTCTAATTTTTATTATAAAGCACTTTTATCTAAATTATCATATCAATATTATAGTTATATTAGTTGATTTTATTAAATTTATAAAATAAAATTATGATGACTTAATTTTATCTTTTTTATTTATTATTAAATATTTAAAAGAGAAGTGCAGATATTATTTTATATCAAAGTTTATGTACCAATACCAATAAAAATAAATAAAGCTAATGCTTTATAGAAAATGTATTGATAGATGAATAATTATTTTTTTTATTTGATCATTTTTATCATGATTAATAGTTTATGAAATTATATTTTAATTGTAACTATCTTGTTATTTTCCCATGGTTAAGGTATAAAGATGGTGAATTCTATAATCTTGGAAGAAAGTGAAGAACTTAAAATATGTTGAAGTAGCATTATAAAAGAAATTTCAAAGGTCAAAATGATATTAAACTAGTGGTAGAGCCCATGCGTGCAATGCACGGGCAATATACATTTATGTTTAAAAGTTTTAAATATATTTATAACTGCATATATATTAAATAAATTATTTAAGTATCTAATAAATTATAATTATTGTTATCTATAATATAATAATTAAATAATTTTTCATTCAGTATAGTTTAATATATATAATTTATTTTTAAAAACTTTTAAATACATCATAGACATAGAGCAAAAAAAAAATTATAATTAAGCATTTTTTCTCATTCTTCAAAATTTATTATGTATCAACTTTTTTATTATCATTTCAGAATATTTAATAAATAGGTCAAAAATAAATATTAAAATTGAGAATTTGTTGTTACTTATTGAAGTTTATTGGTCATTTTTTCTTTTAAAAGCTTTTCAATATATCAATTACAAAGTGTTGAAATTAATGAATTAAATATTTAATGTTTTCAATTAGTGTAATATTATAAATGTAATAATTGAGTCTATTCTCTTATTTTTTTTAAATTTTACATTTATTTAAACAAAATATATAGAGACGTGAAGTGTCTCGATTCTATTAGTAATAATTATAAAAATCTTCAAGTTAGTGTTAATAATACTCATTACTCACTCTTTAGTTTGTAACATTGTTTAGTGTATGGATTGACAAAATTATATTTACAAAAACAAATCTAATAATCCAAATCTATTTTGAAATATTTAATTTTTACTAAAAAAAATAACTTTAATTATATTGACTTGATTGACTTAATTCAATCTAACTCGTTTATGATTAGATTAGATCTCACAATAAAAATACACCATTTGATCCAACTCGACTAGTTATAATTTATATTTTAATGTTTTAAATATACTTGTAA